GTCGAACCGTCGGGGCTCGACCAGGTCCACTTCCTGTGGGGCCGCTTCTGGAAGAAAGAGTTCATCATAAAGAGTCCCTCTTTCTCCATGAAGTCGGCCAACTGCTGGCCCCTTGGGTTCCGTTGCCCTATTCCAAATTTCCCCACTTTCAGCTCACCGTTCTCTCTTGTGCCTAGTTTTGCATTGAAGTCTCCCATTAACACCGTATATTGGGTTTTGGAGGAATGCATGGCTCTAGAGATATCCTCATACATTTCCTCCACCTCCTGATCGGGGTGTGCCGAGGTTGGTGCGTAAACCTGTATGACCTTCAGCGAATACCGTTTGGTGATTCTGAGTATAAGGTACGCAACCCTCGTCGACACACTCTCAATCTTTACAATGTTGTTAACGAGAGACTTGTGGACGATAAATCCGACACCTCCTTGGACAGATGGTCGCCCTCCCGGTGATAGAGCAAGTTGCCGGATTCGAGGATTACCGTGTCCTCCCCCTCTCTTCGGACTTCGGATAATCCTATAATATGCCAGCGTAACTTGTCTATCTCTTCTTCCAGCTCCACAATCTTCTCGTCAGTCCTCAGGGTGCGTGCGTTGTATGTTGCCAGGTCGAGTCGTTGTAGGTGGCAACCGAACCTCCACCGGAGATTCTTAGCACCCCCTGCCCCGCCGTTACCATGGTCGCCACCGTAGCCAGGAATAGCGGGGCCGCCGGGGACTGGGGGCCGTCTCTTCGTAACTTTCATTATGGGGGGTATATTGCCATAGTTGCCACGCTTGGCGAGCGGGTTGGCAACCGCAGTTTTTTATTGTATTTTGTCGTTACCAGGAAGATGCTGCTGCCCATCTCCTGCCTGTTTCCCTTTGTCGCCTTTTACGACACCCACGGGAAGATATGGGGTAGTGGATATTCTTAACCGCCACTACACGGCCGCAATATGACGCAATATGCGTTCGTTAAATTCGGCGACTGGAATGAATCCGAACAATTCCTCAGAGCACTCCCCGTGGTAAATTCGATAGAAAATGCAAAGGGATGCAAGATCCCTACGCAATGCCAGTGTATCGAGCCGATCAGAACTCGATCGTCGACGATTCGAAGCGCTCTGCGCTGGATGCGGTCAAGTAGAAGGAGCTGGCACTGGGGTGCCCCAGACCAGAGATGAGAACAGTATTCCATGTGAGACCGAACTTGCGCTTTGTGAAGTTGCAAGCGATGTGCCGGCATGAAATACTGTCTCGCTCTGCTGAGTACGCCAAGCTTTTTAAGAGGCCAAATTGGCCATCCCTTCCAAGTGACCACGAAACTGCACGCTATTCGATATGTCGACGCCGATAATTCCGATGCTAGCTGAGGGAGAAAGGGGAGTGCCTTGAACCTCAGTTTCAAGATAGATACGAAAAAAAGGGGTTCTTTTTAGCGGTAAACGCGCAAACTTGTCTTCTGGGGATTGAACTGGACTAGATTTAGTCGCCCCCAATCCGTGTATGTCCGTGTATAAAAATATGCAAAATTCAATTATACTTTGCATAACTTTGAGACTTCGAGCACAGCTTTAATGAGCTTCAATATGCATCGCTCAATCACTAAAATGATAAAAGGGAGATTATAAACAAATTAATAATTGTTGCAAAATTTGTACAGTTTATTAAATTTAATTGATACAGAGAATACTTTGAAGTACATAACGTACCATATAGGTAGTGAAAACAATTTTTGTATTTACAAATTAGGTATAAGCATATTATGTATTTTATTACTCTAAGACCAATGTCAAACATATAATATTCTGTGGTCGAACAGTCCGTACAGCGAAGAGATTGTCGCCAAATAGTTATAATTAATTTCTGACAGACTGTCTGAATAAGGAGTGAATTTTATGTGATTTCAAATGTTCCCTTTTCAATAGTCTGTAGACATCATGTCAAGGCAAAAAGCGTTTATTTTTTATTTAGTAATTGTATATTAGGGTGTTACCGTACCAATTGATCAATATCGATCGATTGGTGTGGTAGCTTTGGCTGATCAACGGATACTGGTCGATAAAACGTTGTTCAATCATCGATCGACGTCGATCGAAAATTAATCGATGTGGTTGCGAAATTACAATCAGTATCTTTCAAAATGTATTCAGAAGAATACGCGTTATTGATGGCCAGTAAGATCTTGCTCGTATTATTTTTACGGAGACGTAAATCGTTTTTTCAGGCCAGATATAGCTTAAATTCATCTAGAAACGTTTTAAATAGCGGTCGGTGTAGCTGGGCGGGTTCTCGAATAATTAAGCAACTCGACTAATTCATTCTACCGGTGTGGTAGAATATATCGATCTACGTCAACTAATCCATTCCACCATCGTCGATGCCATCGATCGACGATTGTTCGATTGGTGTGGTGATATCTTTAGATATGTGTTTTATAAATTAATGTACACTTAAAAGTGAAATACAGCTTGCTTAATATAAATATCTAAAAATTTAATGAATTACGGTCGAATATCGACCACTAAGCGACCAATATTCCAAAACTGTGTAAAATTTTGCAGTAGATCTACAAATATAGTATATAAATAAAATAACGAGAAGATAAATTATACAAAAAATAGCGAATGATAACTGACTAAAACTGCATCTAATAAAAAAAAATATGATTTACTTAGGCAGTGTAGACATAGGAGTGTAGTACAAGGAAATAATAAAAATTTATGTAAAATTAAAATTGCCACCAAAGTTGGCATTAAACATTTTTTACTAAAATTAAATACACTGAAGATGGTTCAATCCTCAGGAAACATTTAACATAATGTCACAAAACAACTTAACTTTAACAAGATTTTCTATAATTTTAGATATCCGAGGCCATTATTTAAGAAAACAAGTTTTAATCTACATTTTATTATACAAGTGGTGTTCTTTATTCCGTGCACTTAATCTTAAGTTTAGTTGTGAAATATCAAGAACATTAGTACTCTAGTTAATATTTAAATACGAGTTTTTATATAAATAGAGACGGAGTTAAAACCTGCAATAAATATGAATTAGTGCGAATTACCTCGTAAAATTGGTAAAAGGGTATTGTCTATAAAAATACAATCGTAAACGAGAAATTCATCTAGCGTTAGACTATACCTATATTAAATAATTTTTATCAAAATTCGGAAACAGAATTTTGTATAATTCTCTTTAAATTAAAAAGTATACAGCCTACAGTCGCTTAACTACAGCAGTGTGATTGAGTAACTCTCAGATTCATTTTGATATTGCACATGCACGTACGCACGCACACGCGCGCACCTACTCACACATGTATCATACACGTGCGCGCGCACGCACCTACGTACGTACAAAGACGCTTTAAAAAATTAGGGTCGAAATCAAGGGACCTCTAAATGTTGAGAAATATTTAAAATTTGGATTACGTTACAACATCCAAAATCAAAGTTAATTTTATACATAAACATATTATAAACCTAATGTGATTAAAAAAAACTTGCAGTCCGCCCGATAGCAAGTGGACACCTGCAGCCAACTTCAAACTAAGAAGACTAATTGCGTTGTTGTCACCTTTGAGGACTAAGATGGAACGCCTTACAGACTGTAATTTTTTTTTAAAAACGTTACCTCCACACTAGGATTTTCTCCTGTATCGTGGAGGCAGTTTACAAACACAAATTGCACAAGGACAAACATCCAGACCCGGAACAATTACTTGTAGGCCATACAAATACTTGTTCCGTGCGGGATTCGAACCCGCGGCCCCCAGCGCAGCAACTCATTGCTAAGCCACTGCGCCACGGAGCCGTCCGTGGCGTTTAGGTTCTCTATACTCTACAGACCGGACGCAGCAGTGTAGGCAGTGCTTTTTGGTATTAGAATTAGGTGAGAGACTGGTACCCACGCAGATAGACCTCCAGACAGCAATGGAGTATTTTATTCTGTACTTAATTATACTGTATTTATTTCTTGAAACCATGAATTATTTACAAAGATATTAGGCAGTAAGAATACTTTTAAACTTCTGAAAATTACGACCCTAAAGTATAAAAATAAAGTCTAAGCCGTAATAACAATGAATGAAGTTTTTAAAATATTATTCTAAATGACTAGTGTTTAGTACTCGCATGTTATGATATCGTTTACAATTATATAATTATAGAGACAATTTCTTTAAATAAATTTTTTAGAAATCGCTAGTACCCTTTTCTACAACCATCTTTAAATAATTATCGCCGCTGCATAATCAATTATCTGTGTTCAGTTAATCTTCGTTGTGAACATTTATGTACATTCTTATTGAAATCTGACGGAACGCGTGGTTTTACGAACTTAATTTCGATCATTTTGTTCATATTAATTTTAAAAGTGATTTTTATAATTGTAATTTCAGTAAGTGCCGTCTTATTGAAAATGTAAGTGTATTAAAGAAACATTACCACAACATTATCGTATATTGTACTCTGATAATAATGTATAACATTAATTTACACACGTACGTATTTAAGACACGATTGTTTAAGAATACACATTCAATATCACTAAGATAACATGTTACCATAGGTGTGTTTCATACCGTTCTTTAGGTTTTTTGCTAGTTTAGCTAGCTTTATTCAATAAAAATTGCTTAGAATGAAAATAATGCAGTGTTATAGACATTATTACAACAGGGGCGCTTTATGGATTCAAGCATTAGAATTTAGGCCACGACGGTATCAAAACTCGAAATGTATATAAAAGATATAAGTACTAGAATAAATCTTTCATATTCTTTACAAAATCTTATTTTCAACTTTTACACTGCATGACATGTACATCTATGGAATTACATCGCACAGCCCAAAGGAAGGACTCCGTACATTTCTTACTCAATTTTCCCTTCAATATAATTGAGTTAGCAAGAAATATTCAATTCGAATATTCCTTTTCAATAACCCACCACAATGTGGATAAAATTCGAGAAATAGATTGTTTTGTACAAAAATTCGCTAAGAAATTTAATACTATTTATTTCACGATAAGGAAACCATGCACGCTAGCTAGGAACTTATCGAAGTTGTCTTGGAAACGAATTTTGTGAGGTCTATAACCGTCAAAGAGCACTCCGTTAGTTAGAAGCCTAAAGGCGTCCTCCAATCGCGGCACGTTGGCGGGATCATTGGCGGCAAAAGCTTCAATAACTTGTCGGGCTAAACCTTCTAGAAGGGAAGGCTTCACGCAAGTCAATGAATATATCGCTGCACCAGCGGCTGGAATCGAATCGGGCGGAATCTCCATCTTTATTATGAGCATCAATAATAATTCCGCTAGTGTTAACAATGATAGTGAGTATTGATCGTCCTCCCCCATCATTTGCGCTTTGTTTGACAGTCCAACTATTGTTTCGCAACATAACGTCGACACGTCACTAGAGACAGCTGTCAAACCGATTCGGAGAGCTGCGATCACCATGTTGAAGTCTTCGATGGGAAGGATAGTAAGCTGCAAAAAATAAAAATATTGCTACAAATGAACTTAATAATAGCATCTTTACAACTATTTGCCAGTCATGACTCATAACTGCTGGACTTAGTGTCACAAATCTGAGTCTGAGCTGAATAAGAAATTTACAAAATGTCTTATTAAATAATAATAATAATATTAACTCTGAGTTTTTATGCATGTGCCCATAACCTTTCAAGGCTAAGGATGAATTCTTCCATTCTTACATCAAGATCAATTTTAATTCTTTGATGTACGCCAGTGGTGGTTTCCTTTAGTTAAACTATTAGAGTTCTATTGACTTCATTTTATATGTATTATCTGTTTTGAACAGCACCCCTGCCCTCCCTCAATTGCGCGCATTATCCCCAATCACTACTAAACCAAACACCCCTTCACTAGGAAGGACACACCACCGTCGATAATACGACCCGTGTTCCGCCTCTAAACGAGGCATCATCAGGAGAAATAGACTCGATGGCTGACCGCTAAGTGACTTCTAAGTTATATTCTTACTTCTAAGTTATATTCTTACTGGATCCTTTTAACTGGAAATAAGGCATTCCATCTTAGTCCTCACGGGTGACAACGCACCTGCATTTTGATTTGTAATAGGGGATAGATGTAGATGTATATGGGCCGCAGCAACCACTTACCATCAGGTGGACTGTGTGCTCGTTTGTCATCTGAGCTGACTGAGCGTTATCGATAATACCGTGCAAGAAAACGCAATTTTCGCCATCAATTTAAGCAAGAGACATTATATTATGGCTTTAAAACTTTCGTGTGATGTTCCTGACGTCACTGCCTATTCGTCTCCCCGGCTCGTGTCGTCGGGCGGCCGACCTCAAACCGGTTCTGCGGGCGCTTCACGGCCCCACCATCTTCATGGACACAATGCGGCACCACAACAACGCCCTCTTGCTCGGAACAATCCGGGCGCGAACGCACGCATTACGGCTACCTTTCTTATAGCAACCAATAAATTACCTATACAGTCTTAATATTGAAGTTCTTATTTAGTCAAGAATTCCACCAGTGCAAGTGGAGCTTGATATTTAACAGTGGTCCTTCGAGCCGGATCACTGTTAAATATCAAGTTTATTTGACGAGCAAACGATAACTATTATTAAATAAAGTATCGAATATCGTTACGCAACTGTCTGTAGAACCCAAATTGCGTCCTACTAGCATTATTAAAATACAGGTGTGTGTAAGATTACATTCTAATACAAAATGTATTAAGGATAGATATCGAAATATTGCAGGATGCAAGAACGTAAGTGTTCTATTTTCATTGTGTCGTAATTATAGCATTGTTGTGTAAGATAACATGTGTTAGAAAATAGTGTTTAAATTATTTAAATAATATAGAGCCACGAAGCACTGGCTGAGTCACGAATGTGTCGGCTCGACCGGAGTAGGATAACGCTTCTTACGGAATACCAGTAAAATAACAGCTGAATGTTGCTATGTTTTGTATGGTGAGTGTAGAAAACCGGAGATCCTTTTTACTGGAAAGAGGGGTGAGAACGTATCTGCATTTTGATTCTTAATCAAGGATAAACGTAGATGTGTATGGGGTGTAGCATCCATTTACAATGAGGTGGAGTATGTGGTGGTTTGTCACCGTTAGTATATATAAAAAAAGGTTTACCTCCTCGGCGGCGTCGAGGTCCCGCAGCAGGCGGAAGACGCGCTGCGCCAGCGCGGGCAGCGCCAGCAGCGCGGGCGACACGAGCGGCAGCAGCAGGCGCAGGCCGCGCGCGCACGCGCCGCGCCCGCGCTCGCCGCACGCCAGCCACCGCACCAGCTCCATCAGCGCCGTTGTATCCTGCGCCAACCAAACGAAACTGATGCGACCACGAACATCGCAACAACTTTAAAAAAGCCGTTCTATCCTGCTGAATGCAAACAAAACGGCTATGACGACAACCATCGCACCAACTCTATTAAGCCGTTATATCATGTGGGTTGTAAACAAAACTGATGTTACCACGATGTGAAAACGGCTGTGGTCACATCTTGTCATAAATAAAGTTTTTTTTTTAATAGGATAGGGTGACAAACAAGCACACAGTCCACCTGATGGTAAGTGGTTGCTGTAGCCCATAGACATCCACATCTATCCTTAATAAAGAATAAAAATGCAGATGCGTTGTCACCCGGTGAGGACTAAAATGGAATACCTCTTTTCCAATAAAAAAGGTCTCCGGTTTTCTACACTCACCATACGAAACACAATAGTGTCAAGCTGTTATTTTATGCCAGTATTCTGTGAGAGCGTGGTCCTTCCCCGGTCGAGCCAACCCATTCATGCTAAAACTATACTACTAATATAGCTGCAGCATGGCTCTACCACATTAAAAAGTTCGATAAAGAGTCTAAATTTCTGCAATTCCCGAACTTTAGTTATGAAAAAGATGCCCTAAATAGAAAAGCTAAATTCATAGAAAGTTATTTTACGACGCACCAGAATGAGGGAAGAAAATCTACAAGTATACTATATAATATGCTCTCTTTGTATTCATTTTTTTTGAACAGTCAATGGGCAATATTATAAAGAAATACACTCAAAAGTCAACGAAACATATTTATTTCATTTAAAACTCAAACGAATCAATAAGTAGAGATGAGGGTTAATCTCAAAAAGGAAAAGTGAAGTTAGGGAAGTGTAACGACAGTTGCACGATGCGTCACGTTTACACGAGAATATTCCCGAAATCTTATTGAATAATTTGCGATATTCCAATAGAAATTACAACGATATATGGGAAATGTCTCTTCAACTTAGTCAAGTCATAATGAATAGCGTAAAAAAAGCAATACTCAATCTTAATAAACTTACATTTATAATTATTAAGCCTTTTTCCCTTGGACATATTGTTAATAGTGATTGTTCTAGCATTTTCACATTAAGATGGAAAAATGATTGAATCTTTGGTCAATAAAAACTTAAATACACCAGCGTTCTTAAAGCTGAACGCACATTTCGCCGCGCCGGCCGCGCCGTACGCGCCGTACGCGCCGAGTTTTACTGATGGCCTCGCACACTTGCCCGTACGCATCGTCCGCGCCGTACGCAAATCTTTTGTATTACCAACAACTTTTGTAGTTTTTTCCAACCACTGGTGTGAAACGGTACAGTTTGATCGCTCGAAATCACTATAGAAAGTAATTTAGTAATAGCCTGCTGGCAGAGGAAGAAGAAAATAAAATTCGAAGAAAAAGAAGATTCTGGATTCATAGTATAAATTTAAAAAGGCAATTGTATTTAGAATATGAAGGGTGTATGAATACTTTATTTAAAGACTTATTAGATAATGATGAACGATTTTTTTAGATATTTGCATTCAACATATTCAAGAAATTCTACATATACTAAAACCATATCTTTCTATGGAAACCTCAAGATTTAGAAAGCCAATTGAACCAGAAAAAAGACTTGTTGTACAATGATTTCTTATATTTGCGCGAACACTACACATTTAAATAAAACTAATTTTACTAAAATCCGTAAAATTAGTTTTATTTAAAAGACTTGTTGTATGTTTCATCATCATCATCATCATTACAGCCCTTCACAAGTCCACTGCTGAACATAGGCCTCCCCCAAAGAATGCCACAAAGCACCTGCCACCTGCATCCATCGACTTCCTGCATATCTTACCAGGTCGTCACTCCATCTAGTGGGGGGACGCCCTACACTTCGCCTGCCGGTACGAGGCTGCCACTCGAGAACCTTTCTTCCCCATCGGTTGTCGGTTCTTCGAGCTATATGGCCGGCCCATTGCTACTTCAGCTTACTAATTGAATAAGCGATCGAGCGGAACCAAGGCTCCAAAGTCTTTGCCAGAGATCTGTCTGCCAGAAAGAGCAACTGTCAAAGCTGAAGACCGAATGTGGCAGCATCGTTTCCGGGGCACCTGAGATTTTGAGTGAGATTGAGAGGTTCTATGGGCAGCTGTACACGTCATCGTTGGAGCCACACGCAAGTGTGAGTAACGATCCAAGAGCGAGTCTTATCCGACATTATTCCGATGATATCCCGGACGTCAGTCTGAGCGAGATTAGAATGGCTCTCCAGCACCTTAAAAACGGCAAGGCCCCAGGCGAGGATGGAATTACAGCGGAGCTTCTGAAAGCGGGTGGAAAACCGGTACTTGAAGTCCTTCAGAAGCTCTTTAATTCCGTCCTCCATGGTGGCATTACAGCGGAGGCGTGGAGCAGAAGTGCGGTGGTCTTGTTCTTCAAGAAAGGCGACAACGCTCTCTTGAAGAACTACAGACCGATTTCCCTTCTGAGCCGTGTCTACGTGCTGTTTTCGAGAGTCATTACGAATCGTCTCGCGCGCAGACTTGACGACTTCCAGCCTCCCGAACGAGCCGGTTTCCGAAAAGGCTTTAGCACCATAGACCACATACATAAGTAGTGTAGTTGTACCACTTCTAGACCACCTGAGTCAGACGTGGTTTAACGACGTTCGTCGACACCCGATCCTAAAAATAAATAAAAAAAAAAAAAAAAAAAAAAAAAAGGTTTTGGCATGCTCTGATCACGAATCCGCGGTCCATTTTTGTGTAGAATGCACGGTTCCGGAGATGTGTAGATCAATTAGCTGATATCTAATTGATATCCGGTAAGGGCCTCCACCGTCATTAGCGTCCCATTGTTGTTCCTATTTCTATTGTTCTATTGTTCATTAATCACCTTCATTGCAGCGTGTGCGTCGACTATATCAGTGCTATTGTGTTATAGTTCTTTGTTCCTAATTATACAACGCTAATCTGAATCATCAATAAAACACATTACATAATTTTGTTACAATTTTTATTTATAAAATACAAAATCTTATTAATTATTATCTATAAAATAGGAGCGAAACATCTCATCCACTAAAATATCGTTGTACAATGTGTTCCTTGTAAATATACTCGTAAAACTATGTATTGAACATCCTTGAAACTTATATAGCAAATACATTAAGCAATATTCGCCACAAACTGAAGTCCACTCATTCTGAATCCTATCAACATTCCAGTTCCATCTTTTGCAATTCCTTTTTAAAAACTCTAGATGATATCGTACAGGTGATCGTCCATATGAATCAAAATATTGACCGACGTCATTCGTATCGATATATAAAGCTACCCAATGTGACCCTGGTTTATCATCTGTATCCAAATTACATATTATATACGTTGGTACGTGGGTATACATAGGCAGTCTATTAGCTGCATAAACATTATTTTCTAGACTGGGGTGAATCTTTTTCAGATGTTGTTGTACATCTAGTGTATCCATGATATTACTGCTATTAGTAGATTATTACAGTACCTAGCTACTCAATGAATAACATAGGAATGGTCAATTATAGTGATTTCTACATATTAAATTGCATTTTTGTGATATACAAATCGTACTTGAGTCATTGATCACCAAACAAAACACATTACGAAGAAATGTTGAGATAGGCAACGGAAATGTGAGATAAACTGATATGTTTCTAAATATTAAATTGCATTTTTGTGTTATACAAATCGTACTTGAGTCATTGATCACCAAACAAAACACAATACGAAGAAATGTTGAGATAGGCAACGGAAATGTGAGATAAACTGGTTGACGCATAAAGTAATTATCAACTCATTACGGAAATACTTTAGATTAGAATTTTTACGTACTGGTGGTATATAAGACCAACAAACGCAGTCATCGAGTTAGTGTACGGTCGTTTGGCTACAGTGGATCTATCAATAGTACATTTGTGTTACTTCAATACACCAAAGGCTATGGATGTAAGTGTTTATTCTATTGACTAAATTACTTTTTTTCTGTTATTTTCATGTGTGTGTATTATTTTATTTAAATATTGTGTATGTATATGATTAACCCGTGGTAACTCAGATGGTTAGCGCTAGCTGTAAATTTCACAGTACGCGACCCGGGTTCGATCCCCGCCAGCACCAATTAAATTGTTAATAGCAATTTTAAGTGCTTATTACCACGTGCTTGGTGGTGAAGGAAAACATCGTGAGGAAACCTGCATGTCTGAGAAAATTTCGAAGGCATGTGAAGTTCGCCAACACACATTGAGGGAGCGCGGCGGACATTTCCTTGCTCTAAAACCCTCTCAGAAATGAGAGGAGGCCTATGTTCAGCAGTGGACTTTAATAGGCTGTAACTTTAACTTTTTTAACTTTTATGATTAAGTGTTAACAAATTGATATTAACATGATAACTGTGTTGTTGCAGAAATCATTGAGCTTCGATGAAGATACCTATAAACAGTATTACTACTCGCCACTCTCCCCTCAAGAAGAGAGTGATAACCTCGTCATTAATAATAACACATGCGATGGTGGAAAAAGAAAATCGCAATCGATTGATCATTTTTTTGAAGCTGAATCAAAAATAAAAAAGAGGAAGCTGTTATCATCAACCGTAGCACGAGCCGCTAGAGATGGTGTATCATACATTTCTACTAATTCTGACGACGGAGACCAAGCGACGCATCTCATCAAAATTGAAATGTACGATATGAAGAAGCTATCCAAGATTCCAACTACTGATCATTGGAAACATGCTTCCACTAGAATTAAATATTACGTAAAGACTAATAAGGATAGCATCTACGACAACACAAACGCCCTCGTATACAATATAACAAAGACAATAGCAGAAAGTGAAAAAGTTAAAAAATACTTTTTTAACAATGACAGTCATTAGCTGATCATTAGTGAATGTGATTCTGTTTACTTCAATTACAGGAAGACAAGAGCGGAAGGAAGAGATGAGTGTGGCATACGTGTACAAAACACATCATTGAATAAC